TTAGTATCACTGTATGATTTCTATGTTTTCGTCAGAATTGGTCGAGCAATATGAAGTGTAGTAGTGGTTTGGCTGCATTTGTAACAATGGACTTATGTAGATCTGGTTTTACGTGTTTTAAGTTTCCAGACGACATCATGGAGTATCTAAACTTTACTTACTCTCCAAAACCCTCGAATAAGTAAAGTTTTATCTCTGTTGCCAACAGTTACGTGGCTTTAGACTGCACCTGATCTGGACTATTTGATCTCGTTGATGAACTCACCGAATTTGTCGCTGCTGCCTTTAATGGTCTCCCTTCAAAACTGAGTGGTGATTTTAATAAATATGCTCGTAGCTTTTTTTATCATTGAGTCACCAAAATGTATTCTATTTTCCTACTCGTTCATTAAGGCATTTAGAATTATTCTTCATCAATGACGTGGGAATACAAAGTTTCTAACTCCTCGACCAACTGAATAAATTCGCCTGCATCGACGCTGACAGCTGGATAACCAACTAGCTGGACTCTCATTTCTGAGGAAGATGGTATACTGTGCCCTGTGAAAAGTGTTCTATATTTTTATTAGCTCTAGAATGTGTGCCACAAAGGGATTTTCTTTCCGTTTTCTTTTTTCTCAGCTTTTTAAATGGATACACTTAACAGTACTTAAGTAGTTAAGGGTTTTCCAAGATTTCGTCTTTTCGGCCTCGATAATGGTTTTAATTAATATTTTTAGTCTTATTGGTTACTTCGTCTAATGCATTATTTTTTTGGTGGTCATGATATAAAACTTCTGGCTCCATTGTTGAGTCAAAATGCTTTCCAACTTGCATACCTGAATGGAATGAAGCTGCCTTGACTCCCGTCATCGTATAATCCAGTTGTCGTTCAGCGCTTCACCACGGCTGTTACATCCAAATTTTGCTCCGGTTTTTTCTTGAAGTACAGTCAAATGATACGCTCTTAAATTACGATCCGAAATAATGAGAAGTTAAAATTTTATTCATAAATTAAGAGTAATCAAATAACATATGTTGTTCTGATAAAAATCATGGCAAAATTTGCAACACTCCTTCAGTTTTTGGGTACCCAGGGAAAAATTCCCAAAAAACCATACCGAAAGGGTGAATCTGAAGATGACTGGGGCCAAAGTTTCAAAAAACAACTTTAACGTCTGAGTAAAGCAAGTATATTCAAACTCAGTGGAAATAATGAAATTCATGATAACATTTGGTCGGTAAGTACTTCAAGATCTTGCAGTAACAACCATATCAGCGACAATTTTATTTAAGGAGACATCCTTACACTATTTTGTTATCCAACGTACTATGACCAGTATAAACTTATTCCGTCTTGTTGTCTCACTAAGTGATCCGACTATATCTTGAAGGATCTGGTCTTTATATTGATTAACAGCATTTGCTGTCTCCTATCTGAACTTCTTGTTCGGCCACAAACTTTAAAACTACGAAGAAATTCTTAGATGTCCCGTTGCTTCTGTGGCCAACAATAACTTCACCCGACTGCCCGAACCATCCTGTTCCTGACATCTTTTCCAGAATCCTCATGGACCGCCTCGAAATTTCTTTGACCATCGATCGTGAAACTACTACTTGCTTCGTGCAGTTTGGTCCCGGATGCAAACATAAGATTCGTTTAAGTAATACTAAGTGGCCCCACAACGCCCACAAAAGATTTGTCTTTCAACTGTAGCCTTTAATTTCAGGTGGCCTTTGTTCATTATCACGAACAAAAGTGTTTTCCCTTTGTGGATTATAGATGAGCTCACTGCACACTATCGATCCCAGCTAATTAAATGTAGATAATATCAAACGTTTTACATGAGAGAAATCTCTGTTTTGTTTAACTGATTGTCTCTCTATACAGTCTCAATTCATGTGTTGATACCTCAGTCGGTGAATATACTCCATATCATATTCCTTCGGGTACTCTTGCCGACGTGGTGTTTGTCCTTCTGAGTCTCTGAAGTTCTGAAGCCATAAGGTTTCATGTTCAGTTCGTAACATGTTTGCCCAAAAGGTATGGTCTGTACCCTCACATGAACATCACACTAGCTGGCATTTTTTTCCACGTAACAGAAAAATTCCTTTCCAACTGTTTCAGTGTCCGAATTGCGTATTCAGTAAAATGCTCTCTTCTGTCTGGTCCAATCCAAGATGAGACAGACTCAATTACTGTTTTTGTTGCGTCAGTATCTAGAATGTTCATGTATGTATTGACGATAATGTTTGATATTGGTAATACTGGTGCTGAACAGAGCGCATCTTTCAGGTCATTAAGTGAGTGATTGCAATTTTCTAACCTCTGAAATTTTGTATTTCTCTCCATTAGGCTGGTGCGGGGACTGGTCATTTGTGCATAATTCATTTATGAAGCATCCATAGTACACTGCCAGTCCCGGGAAACTGATTATATCATAAGGTTAGAGCCTTCAAGAACCAATCGCTTTCGGCAGTCGTCTTTTCAGGATCACTGAAAATACTGTCGGACTCGATAACATGACCCAAAATTATTTTTTCACGCAAGATGCAGCATTTGAAATGTTGGGTCTTTGGACCAACATCACTAGGTCTCTGAGTGACTAGGTGGAGACGGCAGACTTTTAGAAGGTGGATTTCCGGAAACATCAATATAATTTAAGTACACAAAATATACCTCGGGAGCCAGGTTTTTTG